GGTTAGCAGTTAAGACAACGCTTAACATTTTGCAGAACTTGCTTAAGTTTTGAAATGGAGAAATATTCGACTTGGGATGACTGGGGCGAATGGATGCAATTTCAAATTCAAGACCAGCTGAAAAAATAACTTGAAGCTGAGCACTGTGTTCATTCTTTAATCCTCATATCAACTCCAATATTTGCAACCGGAATTCACATTGTTGATTTACACGATGCATGTATTTTCATAGTTGAGTTTGGCCTACGCCGGATGCGCCCTCTGACTGGGTTCGGCTGTCGTCATCCGAGCTCCCAGCCAAGCGATCGAGTGTGGTCGCTTCGACCAAATGTGTGGGCGGGGGGCAACTCTTGTGGTACCAGGAGGGAGTTGAGAGACTATGCAGTTTGCGAGATGGCTGCATGGCATCCAGTGTTGAGAGGTGGGGCCCGGGCTCGATGGCGGATCTATCATATTCTGGCCGGTTGGAGGGCGTTGGCCAAATGTTGTCTCCTTTACATTGGAGTTCGGCCTCCCTTTTAAAGTCCTATGAATTTGAGTCAGTAAATGTGTTCGTGTGCGGTAAAACAAGAGAAATTATTTACTGGGAAAAGTTAGTCAATTTTTGCCGACCATCCTGAGTGGTTATAATCTCAAAACTGAATTCCCAGTGAAATATGAGTCCGAAAGCGTTCTTGTTTATCGTCTACTCTTTTACAGATACGAAGAGAAACTTGGTTTCGATGAATCTCCTGAGATATCATTGTTAGGGGGACCTTCATTTCGAATGAAAGTACATGAATAAGAGATTCGTTTTTCAATCTCACCAGATGAGGACGGATGAAAATCGTTGTACTGCAGCCGTTTAGCTTTCATATTATATTCATGTTGACGCAGTCCACGAGTATCCCTCCCTCGTTTCGGGTGAAAACGTGTCGAGCTTTCGTCCATCATATGATGGACATCATCAGAGCTGGGTTTCATTCTTGTAGGAGTCTCACATTCATACTAAACCAAGAACACTATCCGGCTTCATCTTACTATTTATATACACTCAATCGAGTCAAGAGATTAAAAATTACAAATCTAGACAGATCGATATAGAGTGGTTTGGTTAATTTTCTTTCA